TAAAAATAGGCAATGGAAGGAAGCTGCTGATGCTTAACTAGGGTTTTATTTGTTTATTTTTTTTAATGCTTGAGTTCTATTCGCGAATATATTTAATTGGATTTGCAGTTTGTTATGTACGTGTATCAGATATATGACTTCCTCGGATATTGCTACACAAAAAATAAAATAAAATAAAATAATAAATATCAATTTATATTATAAAAAAAGTAAATAAAAAATTTAAAAATTATATTATTTTAATAAAATTTTATTTTAAAAAATTAAAATATCTTAATTTTTAAAGTAAAAATAAGATTATTTTAATTTTTTCTTGTGATATTTTATCAAAATGACATAATTTTAAAATTTTTTTTTTTTTATTTTTTTTATAATACTAATTAATATCCATTAATCTCTATGTATAAATATAAAGATGTTGGCAAAACTATACCTAATTAACTCAAGTTTTTTTTAATTTTGTTTTGTAAGTAGTTGAGAAGGAGAATGTCTTAATATTTAAAATATTAATATTATTTATAAAATTATTTAAATATTTTTAATAATTAAATTTCATATTAATTCATTAACCCCTCATTTTTTATTTTTTATTTTTTGAATATGGAGAATTATGGGGAAAAGAAATTTTTTCTAAATAGTTAGTAAGAGTCGAATATTGATCAACTCAACTTAAGTACTTAACCTTAGGGATAAACCACTAAATCTAAACGTTTGGTTCTTATTAACCCCTTATTTGGTTAAAAAGGGAGGGGACCATATTATTTTTCTTCTCTCTCCTCTTTTTATTTGTTTAGATTAAGATATAAAAAATAAATTCATAAATAAGAGGAAACTTCTCCCCTCCCACTTTCTTTAATTTACATTAATGTAAATAAAGAAGTTTCTCTCCTTTCTCACCCCTCCCCCCCCCCCCTTATAGCAAGAAAAATTTTAAAATATTAATTTTTTTTTTATTATTATTGATGTGGTTCTAACTATCAAAACCTTTTTGATTTTTTTCCGCATCTTGGCCGTAAGACCCAACGACTATAAGTCGTCTAGTAAGGAACATCTCCCTAACTCTTGGGTTGGAGTTTAAACCCATTTAAGAAAAAGAAAACCTTTCTAATATTTTTAATATCCTTAAATACTAGATGGTATTAGATTTAGGGTGCATTTGATATTTGCTACAAAGTATTATCACTGTAATTGTATTAAATTATGTTGTATTATAATTATAATTAAAAATTATTTTGATATTTAGTTATTTATTTTTTAAAAGAATTATGGATGAAATATGATAAGTTTTATTAATTATTAATTAAAATTTTTAAAAATTATAAGATATATAATTATTAAAATAATTATTAAAATCTATTTTTCAATAATTTATGTTTTTGTAATTGTAATTATGATTGTAATTATAATTAT